GCGCCTACCTGACTCAAGCCATGGTGTTTTCAATTGCCTCATATGCTTATGAAAGTTTGACATTGAACAAGAAAGGAAGAAAAAGAATAGATGCATTCGACTTGTCCGGCTTGCAAAAGATATTGAGAGTACCATGGACTGCCAAAAGAACAAACAAATCTGTCTCGGAAGAAGTGCAGCCAGAATGCTCCTTAGTGGCAAGGGCGGGGAGACTTTGTCTCACGGACCTTGAACGTGTTGCAGGAGAGACCCGGCCCAGGAGAAGCAGATTATGATTGGTAAAGTAGAGGGCTAGCGAGAAGGAGAAAGGCCTTTAACAGACGGATGGACAGAGTGGCTGCAACAATGGGCTCAAACACAAGAGCGGTCATGGGGATGGCCGAGGACAGGTAGGTGGTTTGTTCTGTGGTACATAGGGCTGCTTTGAGTTGGAACCAGCGTGGCGGCACCTGATGACAACAACAGCATTTCTTAAAGGTGTAGTCTGAAATCAAACCTATGACCTCTCAAGTTACCTCAAGGATAGAACACTGCCAACCTGATAGCATTATTATAAAGATTAGAGAACACATGCGAACCATTTGGTACATAATTCTCACCCCCAATTCCAACTCACTGCCATGAGTCTGTTCTGATCCTAATAGAGCAGAGGAGAAGTGCCCCTGTGGATTTTCGAGGGTGTAACTATGGGAGTAGAAAACCTCATCTTTCGCCCTTAGAGCAGAGCAACTCATAACCCGCTGTGCTAGCAGGGCTCCAGAATATAAATGTTTAGCAAATAGTAGCCACTTCATTTCTCTATTGCCGAGTAGCCCTGGGATGTCGTGGCTCCACGTTGGGCTGCAGCCCATATGGTTGGCAGTTCAAAACCACCAGTAGCTCCCAGGGAGAAGTCTTGGGTTTCTGCTCCCTCAAACAGTTACAAACTTGGAAACCCATAGGGGTCGCTATGAGTCAGCAGTGACTCAATGAAAGTGAGTTGGGGTTTTGTTCGTTTGTTTATTTGGGTAACAAACAACCCCCAAACTTAAAGGTACACAGCATGAGTCAGAATCACACAGTTGGCAACAAATGTTCAGTTCAGTGTTTTTACCCAGAAGAATCAAGCGAGCCAGCCTGTGCAAACCGTCACACACCTGAGGGAGAACACCACCCTGTATTCATTGCGCTGGGAAGGCATCCCAGCATGCACCACCAGAGACACATTTGGTAGTGGGACGTCAGGATTTTATAGGAACCTTGTCCCTTAGCTTTTGCTTTTGTGTCTTGTTAGCAGGCATCCAGTTTGCTGGTTAAGCCCCCTCTTTGAGTCTCTACGTTGTCCTGTTTATGGCATCCATCAGTGAGCCTCATACAAAACGACTCCCGGCATTGGTACGTTGTGTCTCTGCTAAAAGGTTAGGTTTCAGGAGCTTCTTTCACATCCTTTTTGTTTTTCTTTCAGTAGCTGTTTTGGAATTTCTCTGGAAACGATGCACTGAGTCAGAATGAAACCATTTGAGAACTAGGTTCCAAATTGAATAAGGCAAAAGAGCTCATATATCCAGGGGCACCTTGGAGTTTATTGCCGTTCAGCTGAGGACAAGGTTTTACTCGTTCTGCTGAGCGGACTCTATAGATGGAGGACAAGAGTGGAAAAGCTTGGAGATGTTTAGAAGCTGTAGATGTTGGAGTAGAACTGGAAAATGAAAGGAGAGTCCAGACTGGGAGAGTCTAGAGCGAGTTAATGGCAGAGTGCGGGCACGCTCAGTGGATGAGGTATGGTGTCACCATCCCCTGCTCACCTGGACTTTGAGTAGAACCCTGCTCCATAGGGGCTGCAGCGCGTGGATTTAGGTGGCAGGTCATCAGGCCTTTCTTTCAAGGTGATCCTGGGAGGACTAGCATCTCTAATCTTTCAGTTAACAGCCAAGCACGTTAACCATTTGCCTCCCCCAGGGACTCCAACCTTCTCTTGAGTCTCCCCATAAACTTCAAAACAGTTTTAGATTTACTGAAGAGTTATAAAAACACAGAAAAGCATTCCCATATGCCTTGCCTCACACCTAGATTTCTCTATTAACATCGTACTTTAACGTGGTACATGTGTTACGGTTATTATTTTTTATCAGGTGCATTGGGTCGGTTCTGACCCATAGCGACCCTACACACAACAGAAGGAAACACTGCCTGGTGCTGTGCCATGCTTACAATTGTTCCTATGCTTGAGCCCATGGGTGTAGCCACTGTGTCAATCCATCTCATGAAGGGCCTTCTTCTCTTTCGCTGGCCCTCCACTTTACCAAGCATGGTGTCCTCTAAGGACTGGTCTCTCCTGACAACATGTCCAAAGTATGTAAGATGAAGTCTCGCTATCCTGGCCTGTAAGGAGCATTCTGGCTGTACTTCTTCCAAGACAGATTTGTTCATCCT